TTTTTTTTTCTTAATTTGCCTTGCTTGCATTCTTGTGATGTATTTGTTTATTATTAAATTTGATGTGTGGCTTCTGTGTGCCCTCCCTGTACCGCTTTCGGTATGGATTTTACTTAAAATAGGGTTTCCCAACCTTTTTAGATCAAGGACTGGCAAGCCATGGACTGGAAGTGACTGCGACTGGCAAACTGAGGACCAGCGAAATATGGTCCAGAAGTGACTGGCATACTGAGTATAAAAAAGTGTTGGCTGCCACTCCGCAGTATGCTGGTCACTTGTGGACTTCCAGTCTGGCAGCCAGTTTGCCATAGCCTGGCACTGGGCCATGGCCCAGGGGTTGGGAACCTCTGGCTTAGAGGATACACTAAACCAGGGCTATCCAGCTGGCAGCCCCTGAAGGATTAACCTGCAGCCCCTAGGCTACTGGTCTGGGTGTCTCTTTCCCCCACCTCCCTACCCTCTGCTAGTGCTGCTTCTGGAATCTCCAGGCTCCCTCTCCCTCCTCCAGCTTCCACTTCCTGCCAGTGGAGTGAAGGGAATCTGCACCTAGGAGGCTCCGGGGACTCCAAGGTGCTGGTGTGGAAGGGGGGGTAGGGAGGGAGCAGCATGCACTGTAGCAAGCAGTCCACGACCACTCAGGAATTGGACAGCTTTTCACGAAACAATACTAGGTGCTGATTAGTGTAGACAGCCAACTTAAATGAGCTACCTTAGCTACTGGAAACAGTCTATCTGTGGCAGCATAGTATTTAATACAGGTTAATTTCCTGCACTATGTTTGAGCTATGCAGCAGTCTATAGAAAGTATATTTCTGGGGAGCCTTCAAGAATTATGAAAACCATCTTAAAACTTTCAAAGTGGAAGTTCCATATTTTTAATTAGACGTGGCTTTAGGCCCAGTGTGGACAAGTTTTTCATCGTTGGCAATTTTTGACCCAGATTTTGAGGTGCTTTCTGATATTGAGAAAGCTGCATGCATGTGAAAGCAACTCTGATTAGAAGCTTAGTTTAAAGAAGACAAGTGAAAGAATAGAAGGTTCTTTTGCCTTCTGATTCTGACATATTTATTACTTTTTACAGTGACCTTTGACAAACCTTTTAGTTGTTATCAATATGGAACTAAACACATACATAACTTTTTTATATTGTATTCATGGAGATAGATCCAGGGGACATAGTTTATCTTCAGACACTGTCTTATCCTATTTTAGATTTCTATACAAACGAATACAGCTAGCATGTCCTAGCCTGATTTCAATAAATTCCATCACGTTCAAAGCAGTCTCAAGGGCATATATGTACGTATAAATGTGTGAAGATAGTAGCATTGAGGCCTTCTAATTAGGCCCCATTGTGATAGGTGCTACAAAACACATTAAAACTTGGGTACTGCAGGCTTCTATTTGAAGTTTAGTCCATATGTTTAAGCAGTATTATTGTAGGCTTTGTGCTCATGTCTCATACCCAGTTTCAGAAAATGATCTTGCTTTCTTTTAAATAGCTCTCAGATCCACCTCTTTGAGAGGCTGGCAGTTTAAGTAAGGTGAGAACAGAGAAGGAAAAACAATTACTTACCTAATGTAAGTACCTTAACAGTGTGGTGCCGCAGCTACCATTCATTCTTTTTTTAGCATTTGTTTAAATGGAAAGAAATAGGATGGAGTCACAGTCATGGCTTCTTGTATTAATTTACAGTGAAAATTTGGTTGTGCTTGGCAACATGTCTTACATTCTTGTTGCCTCTGCTGTAACTGATGAATAGTCAGATGGGTTCAGTACATTTATAATTTAATGTGTGTATATTTTTTTAATCCTAGGATGATTGTTGTGTGATTCCATTAATTATCCTGGCATCTTTCATGCCTGCTTCTGCTATCCCAACATTCAGGTACTATTTTTTTTTTAATATCAGAACTGTGGGACGGAGTCTCTTCAGTAAGTGTCATTTTATTATTTGTATTATTTAATATTAATACAACATTAAATAAGATACCAGTCCAGGCAAATTAATCAACTAAGTCAATCAGATAAAGTAGTAAAGCCTATAGGTATAAATATAGTCCTTTGAGCCAGTTGTGATGAAAATAAATAAATATACCATGAAGGTCTACAAGCTCTGATGTTACTAATGAAGTAAAAGACAATTGTCAAACTCTGTATTAGTACATTCTATTTCTGAGTTGTTGCTATTTCAATTAATAACACCCAATATCTCTGAAATTGTTTTTAGCTGTGGTGTGATCTCTAAATTGAGGAATCTTCAGAAAGGAGCTGATGAAAACAAATATTCCACCCTTATTGACTGTTTGTGTCGGTGGGGACAAGTTGGACATGTTGTAGAACTAATCTGTGATTGGATATCTGATGAGCTAACTCCTAGAAAGGTGTGCAAAAACTCCTGCACTCTAATTATGTATCCTATTGTATTAAAATATACTTGCTTAAATGGTATATTGGTAATTCAAAAGAATAGATGTTATCGGGGCACTCTTTTTTTTATATCTCTTTGCTTAATGTTTTTTTCTCTTCTCTTCACATAGAACATTACAGCATCAGGAAGGCGAGTTCGTATCCAAGTAACACAAGAGTCCAAGCCAGAATTAGCACTTAATTATGTTGAATACTTACTGACACATTCCATGAATCGGGATTGCCTACTCTCTATCCCCAAAAAGAAACTCAGCCAGCTTTTGAAAGCACTGGCTGCTTCAAAGGTAATGTTACATTTCTCAGAATATTACATGTAAAACAATGCTTTTTATTTGGACCAGTTATAATTATTCTCATTTAAAAGTTGCATACCTCTGAGCTTTGTGCTTAGCTAGTAGTTCAGCTGACAAGAAGAATAAGTCATAGTGTTACAAGATTTAGGTCAAAATAGTAAAAAAAATCCAAGGCTTTTAGGTGTCTCAGATTTGGTAGTCCAACTTAATCTGATTTGCAGAAGGTTGGTTCAGACAATTTTGTTAAAACTGAGCTCCTTTAAAGTATGAACTTGGTCACTGAAAACTTGAAGCAGTTGAAAGCATCCCAGTCACTTTCTGAAATCCTTGATCTCATAGAAAATCTCTTATTTCAATTTTTTGCCAAAACCAAAGTATAGAAAGGATTTTCTGTAAGTAAACCATGGTTTTAAAAGTAAATATTATATTTCTTGGCTCAATATTGCAGGAGGTTCTTGGCTCAATTCTGAAATCAACTGATACAAACTCTCAGAGCACCAATCAAGCAATTTCCCTACGAGCCTTTACTCTCTACTGCAGATTAAGTATTCATCTTCAACACAAGGTATATTTACTTATTTTCAGCAAAAGTTCTGGACTTTACTAATGAGATGAAAAAAGTGATTGGCAAACTGTTTGTTGATTTTTTTTTTTTTTTTTTTTTTTTTT